TGTGTAGTTTTTGATATTATATCCTCCTATGATTTACTTTTTATTACAATTATAATAAGCACTATTATCCATTGATATTTCATTCACTATTATTATTATTTAATTTTTTACTACTGCAAAAGCATGTGACGAGATTCGAATTCAGTGGAGAATTTCTTCTTTTTGGTGGAAAATATCGATTTTTATTTTAATGGACAGGTGTATCTAACTGGTTTGAAACTCTGTAAAGGTTTTTCTATCATACTTACATTAAGTTATATAAATTTTTCCAATTCGATTTCTTTTCGTAAATATTATTTTTATTAACGGTAGACTACCCTTCGCGTAATTTCCTCGACTGACACGATATCTCGATTCTGATTTATTTAAAGTTGAACATTTTAATGAAGTATTCTTTTGTCGTAAAAGTCGATGTTTTCTCATCAAACCGACAAAGAAATTCCCGTAACCATCATAAAAGAATAATCGAAAGACACGTGGTGGTTCATGCACATGCACACACGCATATAGATTTTGCATGCGTATTCATATACGTCTACAGGAAGTACAATAAACAGTGAACATCAAGGTTACCCGCGTGTATAAGATACCACGTTCTTTCATCAATTAGACGAAAACTTACCAAAAAAGAAGAAAATACGGAAAGACATAAAAATAAGCAAACAGAGTAGGAAATGTGATCACGCACTTGCAACTTTATACACGTTGATCATGTAAACATCTGGCAGACATGTCTATAGCACATTTTTGTTTCCTCGATCCATTCTCGGGATCGTCGCACCGATTCTGCCGTCGGTGCGGGGTTCCCGAGCCGTCGCAGAAACGCTACTATCAAACGAAACGGTGAATATCACCCGTGACATACCCTCTTGTACAATAAGACAGTAAACGAAAAAAGAGAGAAAACAAACGAAAAAGCGGCAACAGGCAAAGCAAATGAGAATCAACAGAAAAACTCGAAAGATCTCGTAAAAAAAATTACAAGGAAAGAAAGAAACGGTGCTGAACAAAGGCTGAAAATATCTCTGAAAATGTGCGGTTTCTTGATACGAACGATCGGTGTTTCGATCGTTTAGAATCCTCGCCGGACGTTGTTCCGTATTATAATTTCTAGTACGAACGACGTTTAGGAACCGGGAACACACTCTTTCGTATCCACTGATCGGGCACACAGAGTGGCATAATACACGTACACAGACCAGATCACGTTCACGTATACACGTGCACACTCCATACACTACGTACATGCTCATGTACGAAAGTCGGAATTACACACATTGCGAAGCACGATTTTATATTGGAACATGTGGAAGCGACGCGTATGCATCCGAGAGGCGGCGTGTTAACATGTGAACGTGAGTCATTTGTTTGAATGATAATAAAAAACGCATCGAATACATTACCATGTGTTTATGTGCTTGTACAGCGTCGAGTGTCGCGATTACATCGGACGGTTTAGCGTGCGCGGCGCGATGGCGTGGATTCGAGATCTAGACGTGGTTCGAACGCGTTGTAATTAGCGCGTTTATTCGAAATCTATACCGGAGAGTAAACTCCTCCCACGAATACAAGAGACAACGAGATTCTGTCAGAAGTAACTGCCATTCATTGCGACGAATGCTTCGAATATTTATAGTGAGTCGAGAAATCGTACACCACGTACAGATGTATGGGTGCGTGCTTTTGGTCATTGAGTTAGATGAATTGGCACTCATTGGTTTATACTTCAACCGTCGTGCCAGCATCCTCAATATCTTCATAAAATTAAAGTTTTTCATTTAATCAGAGTAAAATTGGAAAGTTAAATTGTATAACATCAATTACAGATTTAACATTCTTACGTTTCACGGAACCTAATCAAATTAGAAAGATGCAACAAATTCGAGTAAAAATTAATTTCTACATCTAAGGAAATAAATATGGGTGTCCCGGCAGTAAAAGTGTTAAATTGTTATTGAACGCATAGATAGACTGAGTAATCGTACCGATTTTTAGTTCCGATAAACAGAAAACAGTTTTCTCTGCATGCAAGATATTTTTCACAATTAATTTCAGCATAGATTCATTTCTTTCCAATGCATTTCAAATGTTACGTACTTCAGCAAAGTTTTATATCGTCTTTAAACTTTATTCACGACATGAAAAGTACTTTCGCATGTGACGTAAGATTTCGGACTCATTGTATTTGAGAAGAATAATTTCCCAATCCTCGATTCTAAAGTTTTCGTAATTAGTTAGACGACGCATGGTTCTCCAGCAGAGCATCAGTCTTAAGAACACAGTAATCTGATGAATGCAATGCTTGTGTTACTAATTGATAGAGGGTCAAAGAACAACTTCTAGAAGCGTTTTCCATACCATCATGCGCCGGTACATAATGCCTCGCGAGTCTATGTTCATTGTCGCATAACTCGTACGAAAAAACGGAAGTTGAACGACCGACGCGTCTAATATGGTGACGAAAAGACTCGGCGAATCTCGCGCATTGTTACTGAAACCCCTGCCATTGGAAGTACATATATTATTGTAGGCTTCCAACGGGCGCAGGATTATGGTCGCGAGAGAGGGTGTATCGCGAGGGCCGTACGCGAAAAGTAGCCTGTTTAAACTCCATTCGTGGGATCGAGGTCGTTGTAAACGAGGTAACGACGGCAGAGTCCAGCGTGCTTCGATGTTGCAATAGGGGCGATTATTTACCGGGAAGCACGAAACTCTATGCATAATTTGTATGCCCGGCAGCTGTACACTCTGTATCTTTCTTGAATAAACCGAAATAAATTCTTTTAATTCCTTCAGCCACACGCACGGTGACCGGCGACTATCCGACAAAACGGCGCACTATCGATCACGTATAAATGTAAAACACAATGACTGGATTACATTAAAATTCATAGAACACCGAATTTGAACACTTTCGAATTATATAATACTATATTTGCACGATTTTTCATAATTTTAAGAATCATGTTTTTTATGTATTTTTGTATTTTTTTTTGTTCCACGTCTTCCTGCATTTTATGTACTCATGCATTATAATATGAATATTTTATTAAAAAGGAAATGATAAGATGGTTCTTTATTGCGGTATATCGACAGTGCGTCATTCTGTTTTACCGTCGTCGGCTTTTGTTCATTTCTTGTCTACCTGTCCCATTTTATATCATTATTAAACGTTAGTTTGATGAAAATATAGAAATATTTGCTAATATAGAAATATGAAGAGCGTCACATAATACGTTATGTTGCATATCGATAAATCGTTAAATACGCTCGCTGTTCTAAAGAAAGTTGCATCGCATGATCGACAATTGTATTACACCTAGATTTATTGACAATTTCCGATATACTTACGCATGCTGTATACAATTAATGTTCTGTACATGGACCAGGCTTCTATTTCAGATAAATGTAATGTATTGATTCTTCTACAAAGTTAAGATTAACATATGTGAAATAAAGATGATTGATGTAGACAAAAAACTTAACTTTCACATTGCAGTTGTGGGAAGAAGCTCGTGAGGGCTTATAGCGAAGAGAAAAATCGATAGGAATTTAACATGAAGGAAGGAAGTTTGTGAACCTTGAAGTAAGAAGAGAAAGCTTTTGCACTCTTGTGAAAGCTTGTGAATTTTTAAGGTGCAGGGAGAAAGTTTTTGAGAATCTAGATTGGAGGGAGGAAGCTCGTGAAGTCTTGAAATGGAGGGAGAAAAGTTTGTGAGATCCCAGTGTGGAGGGAGAAGCTTGAGAAGTTTTGAAATCGAGGGAGAAGCCTTGAATTGAAGGAAGAAAGCATGTGTGGGAACTTAAAGTGGAGGGAGGGAGTTTGAGAAGTCTTGAAATGGAGGGGGAAAGCTTGCGAGACTTTAAAATAGAGGGAGAAATTAGCGAGGTTCTTCTTCTCGCTAGCGAATGGAAGGAGAAAGCTTGTGAGAACTTGAAATAAAGGGAGAAAGCTTGTAAAGTCTTGAACTGGAGGGAGCCAGTTTGTGGAGTAGTGGGAGAAATCTTGTGAAAATGGGGGGGGGGGGGTTTTTGAGAGCTTAGAGCAATGCTCGGAATGATCGGGCACGCAACATGAGACTCCACCTCCTGACTACCGCCGCAGCGCCTCACTCCCCGCGTTGCTTCCATCGGCTTACCGTCGCAGCGTCGCGCCACCGTCAATACACTCACAGCCAATGGAAGCAGCGGAGGGAGCGAGCCGTTGTGTGGCGGTAGTCAGGAGGTGGAGCCTCATGTTGCCTGCCCGAGTATTCCGAGCACTGGCTTAGAGTAAATAAAACAGGGATTGAACAGATTCCAAAAATAACCATTTCAGACTGAAACAATTATGGAGAACCGAAAAAGTTTCCTAACCGTTATAAAGTATATCGGTTCCGGCTTCGGTTCTTCAGAACTTTATATTGGTTTTATAATTGTTATTTTTCAGTTACGCATTTCGGTTTTATTTCGAATTTATGGTTTTACCTAGTGCCGGCATTTTATTGCAAATATTTCGAAAATTAAGAAAAAGTTGTTCATAATGTCGTACTTAACAATATATTTCAATCTAATTCAAATCTGCGACGACGAGCGGACGAAGCCCAGTTCCGTTCATTGGCTCGGCCACCTCGCGCCAGCTGATCTCGCCTCTCATTGGTCACTATTTTTCGTTAATAACTCGTAAACAAAGCCGCAGATTGCATTTTCGCTAAGGAAAAAGTTACTTCAAATGTCTTCAGGAACCCCTTATTTCCCGACTTTCAATAATTTTTGGGACACCCTTTTCGTTTCCCCATAACTGTTTCAAGAACCGAAACCGATATTATAACGATTTTCAATCCCCAAAAGAAAGAAAGCTTGTAAAATCTTGAAATTGAGGGAGGAAGTTAGTGAGGCTCTTGAGTGGAAGGAGTTAGCTTACGAAATCTTAAAATGGGGGAAGGCAGATTGTCAATGAAAAGTTTGTGAAGTCTCGAAATTGAGAGAGGAACTGGATTTAATAAATAGCAATTAAAAAATCCGAAAATATTTAATACGTTTATCGAAGATCCCTAGTCATTTACATAACACCTCTCAAGACTGAAAGATACGCCATCGATGCTTTTATTATCTAAAGAAAAATATGTAAAGGCGCTTGAATAATTGTTGTTCGAGACATGGATAGATGTTACGTAGTATTTGAACTCACGACGCCAAATGTTTCTAACGAGAACACGTAGAACTTTCCAGCGGTTAAGTACGACGGCTTCTGGGCTCTGGCGATGCAAAACATTAAGGATCGCGCATAATCATTAGGTAAATCATACCAGTTCGTAAAGTAACAGGAATCCTGTATATCAGTGCTCTGAAAATAATACATGATATGAAATAATTATACAATATTTCACCCAGTAGATTAATCAAGCGTTCAGGTAGTGAATATATTTTAATCGTATGTCTACATTATTAAGGTATATTTGTTTCTTAAAAATTGTATCATACTGTAATTCGAGAAACGTTAAATAAAACAATAATTAATTTTTAACATGCATTGTAGTTGTGTTATAAATATAATTACCTCCGCAATTAGACATTCTCCCAGGAAACAGTAACAAAATGCTAATAACACGACTGCGCAAGAATATATAATAAAATGTATCGTGTTCACGTCTCCGCCAGACGATTCATTTGTCTGTAAAACATTATGTCATTAAAAATTGTAATATCTTTTTCACGAAAATTTTTAATTACCCGGCTTAAGATTCAATTACCTAGTGTAAGAAGAAGTGTACAAAGGGTATAACGAAATAACAACTTGACATAGATGAAAAAAGTGTTGTATTAGCGAATGAAACTAACTTTATTTAACACTAGAACCACCAAACAGTCAAAATGACTGTATTCTGATTTTTTCTTTTACACTTCCTGATACAAAAATGTTTCTATGAGAAATATTTTTAGATAAACTTCTTTATTCAAGTCATGGAGATCGTATGAAGTTTAAATAAGTCCGGACTTGTCATTGTTAGAAAACAATATAGGGGAGAGCGGGGTCGAAAATACGTTGTAAATAATTTGAAATCTAATACAGATTTAGATACATACCAATCTAATATCACTGGGAATTTTTGATATACATATGATATAATAGTTTTGATGCAAAACTATTATTTCAACATATATATCATTATTTTAATCATATAGATAAGCAATGAACATGTATAGTATTATATATACAGGGTGTCCCACAATTATTTTAACAGCCGAAAATGAGGGGTAGCTGAGGTCATTTGAAGTAACTTTTTCCTTTGCGAAAATGCAATCCGCGGCTTCGTTTGCAAGTTATTAACGAAAAACACTGGCCAATGAGACGAATTGGCGCGAACCATATGGTTATCGATCGGCCGAGCGGCACGTGCGTTTACCGCTGAGTTTGACAGTTGAAGGAGGGTCTGTGTGCGGCGTCCGAATCAATGACCAAGTCACGGAGCATGAACTTTTGATATTTTTTTTTACCACGTGACAGTGATAATTTCAAGAAAAACGCTATTCATCCTTATTTCAGAATGTCTGAAGAATGTTTACTAAATTTTCGGTCCCGAAATAATATGTAGTTTAACCGTGACAACCGTTTTAATTTTCTCACGTGTATCGTATGAAATTTGTATACGATATGTACAGTGAAGATTAACAATAAGCAACCCAGTCGAAGTACATAAATGATATTTGAATTTAAATAATTGAATTTAAATAATCGTGTCCGAACAGAATTCAACGAACGATGCGCAAAGCTGATTTAATAATAAATAATCGCGTTAAGGTACGTAAAGGATTTGTTTTTTAGAGAAATATGAAAAATATTATCGATAAGAAACTCACCCATTTAGTTGAGGATGCATTTGCTGACTCGTACGTACTGACCTCGTACAACGAACAGCTGATCCCAGGTCGATGACCGCAACATTCGAGGGATACTGTCGGTGGAACCTCTGGTATGGTTATTTGCGAAGTTCACTTACACTGCACTGTCACCAAACACTGATCAGTTATTTAATCACTGATAATCCGAATCACTTGTGGATATTTAAGAAAGATCACTGAGACTCGTTCGCGGATAATCGTTTATTCGACGCGTTCGTTCGGAAGTCGACGTTTCACTGCCGAAAAATTCAGGCCTTGACTGTGGGTCCTTGTTGTTCTTCGTTCGNTCGACGCGTTCGTTCGGAAGTCGACGTTTCACTGCCGAAAAATTCAGGCCTTGACTGTGGGTCCTTGTTGTTCTTCGTTCGGCCGTCCGAGGAAATGACACTCGATACCATTTTCTTCGCACGGCCATTAATTACGTTCTAAGAGCGCAGGGTGACAGCGGGTCGGACACAGTTTACGTCTCGGCATATCTTGTTTATTTCATTTGGCGGTACCCTGCGCTTCGAAGAAAATA